TAATCCTGAAAGGAGATAAAAAATCTTTTTTTATTTTATTTTATTTTTTTTTTATCAAAGGAATTCATGTTTCACTTGCAAGAGTAAAATATGATTACTTTGGATTTGCTACTTTTTAAAAGTACTGGTGTTTGCTACAAAAACTGCTAGGGAACAGTACATCTTGTAGGCTTAGCAGTGCAGCTGTAAGCCATTCACATTATACATTACATTTCTGGCAATAACTGGTCTATTACGTGTCTCCTGGGAAGTGATAAGTTTGCCCACTTCCTTGTTTATCAAGAGATCAAACTTTTATCTGAATTACTGTCATATATTCTTTAAAATTTAATCTCTTGTGTTAATTAGTTATTAGTTATCAGTAATCACATCTAACACTTTTGGAGATGGAGTAGAACAGGATTTACTTGGTAGGTGAGAAAAGATCAAAGCAATGCACTAACAAATTATTATGGTAATTAGTGTTAGTCTTGTAGTTTATCTCCAGGGGGGCTTTTAACAGAAGCAGTGAGAGCTTGGGAAAACCTGCATGCAGGATAAGTATGCACTTGAGGAAACAAAGCTTTCCAAGTTCACAGGGCAGTCTGGCAAGGGGACTGGAGGTGAGTGGCATGAGGAAAAATTAAAAGGCATATCAGGTAGTGAAGGGGAGAAGTGATCTGAGTGTGCTACACAACTTTTGAGATGCAAGAGACCCACTGGAACTCTGTGTTCCCCTTCAGCCCTGCAAAAGCTCTAATAACCCTTGTATTTGTTGAATCTTAGCCAAAAGGGCAGCTGTTTCTGGCGATTTCATCAAGCTCAGAAGCACAGATGTCAGAGACTGACAGTAGTCCTTCCCTCAACTCCCTCCTCTCCCTGGTTGTTATCTCCACTTCATCTGCTGGCACTTACTACATCTAGTTTTAAATGAATCAAGCTATGGGCTATACCATATCCCTTGAGAGGTTATCTGCTGCCATGCAAGGATGCTTCTCGTGGAGGGTGAATTTCTCCTGGAGCTGTCTGGCACATGGCAGGGAGCATTACCCTTTGGGCATCTGTGCCAGGGATCCCATGAGCACCTTTCTCTGGAGCATATACACAAAAAGGCCCAGATGTGCCTATCAATGCATGGAGTACATAGAGACAGGGAAGGAACAGTTACATTGCCTTCAACCTATGTTGTGATGGTCCTCACCCACCAGGCACCACAGTAGAGCAGGTAATGAAAGCCCTGCACGATCCCTCCCATTTACACCCCAGTTGCCTCCCCCACGTGCCTCCACAGTGACATCTGTGGGCAAGGATCTGATCCTCTTGATGCTGCTACATGTCTTATTGCGGGGTCTGTAGCAGTCCCCTGAGATCACCCCTTAGTGATAAAGCCATTTCTTACAGTCCCTGGGGGAGGGAGAGTGATGTTGTTTGCCACTTGGGAAGAATGAATGAATCTAAGGCTGATGACAAGGACAGCCCTGAAAGGTCTACTGGGGCTGGCTGGCTGCCGAGACTGCAATCTGCCTGCCCCGGCAGCCTTAGCAGCTGGCCGGCTGACAGTGCCACGGGCTGGTGGGCGCCCCCGAGATTGGCAGGGCTCCTTTGCCAGGATGGAAACTGCCTGCGGTGAACAGCTCGTTATTAGTGCTCTACTTTTCGCAGCAATTAAGTCAAGAACCATGGCACCTGTTCATCTCACCTCCCTCGCGGGAATTAACATGCCGTATGGGAAGGGGATTTGCAAGGGGGGAAGAGCTTCCTTGCGTCTGTTAAAGGTGAATAGCAATGCATCTGAGGTTCCTTGGGGAATAAGAGGCTTGATGAATTTACAAGATTCATGAGGAGAACTGCTTTTACCCTAGGGGTGGTGAAAATGTCCTAGATAATTTGATTTTAAGTAGATGTTCACTTTGTGTTGTTACTTCTCTCCACGGCTAAGGAATACTTAAGCCTCAGTGAAAACCACTGAAGAGACCCTAACGACACCTCAAATCTGTTTGATAATGAGAATATAACTGCCTCGGTTTGGATGAACAATGTTTTAATCTGTGCTGCTTGTATGTACAAAGGCTCTGAAATGGACCTCAGGTTTGCCTAGGGATTTGCTGTGTGTATCTACTTAAGCAGTGAACCTGAAAAATGGCATAATTGTTCATCTTTCAGAGAATTACCTCATTCTGTCTAATCAACCTGACAGGACAAAACAAACCAATCTTTTAAAGAGATGCTTTTTTTTTTTTTTTTTTTTTTTTTTCCTCCAGGAAGATGTGGATATTAAGATGGTATGTAGATGCTGTTGGTTCCAATTAAAATCAATATCTGTCCTGATTTGCAGCTGTTGTCTCTGTGACAGCGAGGGGGCTAGATAAGGGGACCCATCTGCTCAGCTTTCCCAAAGGGGCTCCAAACAAGTGAATGACCTGCAGTGTTTATTATTAAGTTTTCAAAGGGAAACTTGTTTTGGTCTAATTGAAGGAATAATATGAGAGAGGTTATTTCTGGTCAGTTCCCTGCTGTTTTCACTCCAGAGAATATATTCCAGGTGTTAGCTAGGCAGTGCAATGATACAGTATTGACTTTCCCTTGTGTTTAGGCATGCTAGTGCCAATAGACCAATAAGCTGCAGTTATGAATGTAAAGCCAGCCCTTTCAGAGGGACTTTTTGCTAACTATTTAGTAAGCCAGATGGATAATGACTGCATTCGTTTTCAAAAGCACCATTCCCCAGGAGCAAAGTAATTTTTCAAACCCTTAGTCCTTCTTTTTCATCTAGTTTATTTCCCTTCTTTTCTCTTGTATTCTTAGCAAAAGATGGATTGTGAGAGAGTATCATTTTCTGTTAAATCACATGTAAATGCAAGTTGATAATAGTTTCTCCCCTCTTCTATGACAACAAACTTCATGGGTCTAAATAATAGAGGAAATGTGGATCAACAAATTACATAAGTTTTATGTGGCATGTGGTATATGACAGATGATCTTCATCGTATGATTCTATAAAGCAGTGTGTGATATCATCCTTCTGCTATACACGTGTTAGACGTTGTGCGCATGCTACTTTAGACAGGCAAACATAAAAAGCCAAGCATGTGCAAGGCGATGACTCAGCCCAAATTTGGGAAGGGAAATGGCTACTGACTCTGGCTTTATTTCTTAAGGCAGGGTCATCCAGATAGAATAGCAACGTACTGAGGAAAGCAATCTCAGACAAGAGATTATTTTGTTTTATATCAAGAGCTGGGAAGAACAAGAGTTTTCAGTTTGGTTGCTGGATTGAACAATTGGAAAAAGATCCTCAGTTTAGGTGGAACTGAAATAGAAACTCTTAGAACTTTTTGAAAAACCTCCTTTGAAGTCAATCTGAAAAGTTTGTTTCATTTTCTTTTAACATAATACTCTAAGTATTTTATTTATAAAAAAAAAAAAAGCCATCCTGACATTTCAAATAATATCTTTTGACTTTTCAAAATTCCTCCTGTCTCCTTTTCTTTTGCTTTTTGCGTATCTTAAATGAATGTGATTTGATTTCACAAATGTGTTTGAGTCTTGAATTAAATTCAAGATACTGGTTATGTGCTGGGGAAAAAAAAGAGAAAAAAAAAAAAGAGAGAGAATTCTCTGGATGGGAAATCTAATAGAAATTTAATTGTCATGGAATTAAAATGAACAATAGAACAAGGGAGTATTTTTGTTCATAATATTAAATGTGCCTTTAAATATATATTTTTAGTCACCTTTAAATCTATTCAGGGATTTGGGCCAATATTTCTGTACTGTTTTGTCCCAGGAAATATGGATGATAAGATTAAAAAAAAAAAAAAAAAGAGAGAGAGAGAGAACCTTTTGTCATCTCCTTTCTTCTTGTATCTTCATAGTTAGGGCACTCACAAAAAGCAGGAGACCCTGTATCATTCCCTTCCTTATTTGTTTGACTTTGAACTCAGCTACCCTTCCTCCCCAACCCCTATCTTCCCCCCCAAAAAAAAGAAAAAAGTGTAGAAAGCAGTAGGTCATAGACAGTTGAGGAAAGATTTTCCTAATTTCTCCTGGTGACACTTCTCCTTGTAATCACTGAAGCAGCGACTGGGACCCATGTTCAGCTTTTCTACGGGTAAGGTCATCCTGGGCGAGAGCTCTTAATAACCCATGAGCTCTTGGGTAAAAAAAAAAGATGCCACTGCCTCCTTCTTCTCCACTGGGGTGGTGAATCTTGTTTTTTGTTTCCCTTGCTTTTAACTTTGCTTCAAACCAATGAATTTGCTTCCCTCCTCCCCCCATTTTTTTTAGTTTGGTTGCCAAGCTGAAAAATTTGTTATTCACACAAACCAAATGCAGCCACTAAATGTAATCCATTAAATTGTTCTTTCATAGGGGGTGGGGGCTGTGTGAAGTATCCCATGGCTTTTAAGCAGCTTGTTTTATTGCACCAAGCCCGTTGCACTGCACCAAAAAGTCTTTACTAATCAAGAAAAAAATCCCTAATTCTCTGCTGTGCTGGTGTGAGGAGATGGGGAGAAGCTGTGATCCGGGGCCAGCCATTGTTTCAGAGCAGAATGCTTAGGTGATTGACAGTTGCAAATTAATGGGAACGATTTTTAGACAGGGCTTGTCACATGAGGGCCTGGCCATCCTGGATGTGCTGTCTGTGCTTTAACTTTTTAATTCCATCTGGAGTTTAGACAAAGAGGCCTGGATGAATCCTGCTCTCTGTCCATTTGGCTGTCATCATTTTGATTAACCTGATTCTTCAGCAGGAGCAAAAGTAGCTGGCTTCAGTCCATGCAGACATCAGGAAAATAGCTGCCGTAATGGCCCAATGATCTCCACAAAAGAGATCCTAGGGCTAATCTGCTTTTTCTCCTATGTCTAATTAAAAGCTTCTTTTCCTGTTTATATTAACATATTTTTTTTTTTTTTTACAATATTTTGATTAAATAATTCTTTTTGGAGCTGTGAATAAGTCTGAACATGGTGTTTTGTTTTGTTTTTTTTTGTTGTTGTTTTTGGTGGTGTTTCTTTTACAGAACAGGTGTTATGTAAGGAGGAAGAAAAGCAGAAAAGGAGAACATAAGTGAGAGGAAAAAATTGGTGTGTAAAGGAAAGAAAGGATGGTTTCCACAAATTAACTACAAATGGGAACTACACAGGACTGGGGACTTCTGCTTGCCACTTTATGGCCCCAAAAGATTGTTTCTTCCCCTTCTTCAATGACCTATAGGATCTAGGGCAAATTGCACACGTGTAAGTTATTACAAATGACTTTCACACACAAATATATGTAAAATAAAATTGCAGTGCTTCCATTTTTGGACACCAGTCATTTAAAATACATTTGTGTTTTCCAGTCTTTTATATGTTTTTCTGTAATTCCAAAGAGGCTGGCCAGACCAAAAAGTTTACTTTGAAACCTAATCCCACTCAGACTTGTACTTGCTAGAAATATCGGTTACCTCTTGGTTACCAGCTGAGAGTTGCTCTCGTACACTGCTCATGCTCCACTCAAACTACCAGAAGAAAAAAAAAAAAAAAAAAAAGAGAGAGAGCAAGTAGGCCCCCGTGTCGTGCATGTCCCCTTCAAGTTTGGTGCATGGCCCGTACATGACTATACTTAAATGGTATGGCTATTTTGTGCTTCTCCTTTCCAAAGATTTGTGAAGAGTTCAACAACATGTAAAGTACAAGGCCCCCATCTGATAGAAGTGATTGTACCTACTCCATGCCTCAGAGCTGTCTGATGGACATGAATCTACTGGGGAGCGGGGTGAAAGGAGGGGTGGGGGGGAGTTGGGGAGGGAATCTCTCTGTGGCACCAGGCAAGCAGGATATTCTAATCTGTCATGCAATGGTAGAAAATGCTTTTGTTTTCCCACAGGGTCAGCCACACCGCCTTGCTGCCACCATACTTTCACAGCCCCACCAGGCCTTGCTTCCCAGCCTCCGAGTCTGTGTCAAGGACCGAGGCCACCCAGGATATACTCCTGGCCTACAGCCAGCTCTGACGTCTGTGCTCATGCACTAAATGCAGAAAAGAAAGAGAAAAGATAGATGTGCTCCGAAAAGGAACGTTGATCAGATGTCTGTGCTGTGCTTGCTGCTGTCAGTCCAGGGGGACAAAAGTTCTTCTGCAAGGGAGGCAGTTTCTGTGAGTCCTTCCATTCTTCTTTTCTTTTTTCTCCTCTTTCCTGCTTCAGCACCAATAGCGCTAGGCTTAATGCTGAGGAGTGCTGTCATTTTATGATCCTAATTACACAGCAGCAAACTGAAATCCCCCTGGTCTACTTTGGACAACTTGGACATGTTGTGTGGATCATGCAAGTGGGATTTGGCATGGAGCCAGGAAGAGGAGTAAATTAACATGGTCACTTAAGGTCATGGTCATAAAAAGTCATGGCTCTTCTGCTGCAGATTTTTCAAGGCTTTGGCTCTTTTGTACAGGTTTCAGTGGAGCAAGAAATACAATCTATTTTTAGTGAGTTAGGCAGCAAGTGATATGTTGCAGTGGAAAGCTATGGACAGTTTTCAGCTGAACTGAACAGTGGGGAACTTTGGGATGGCTTCTCAGCCCTAGTTCTTTGCTCTGACAAGGCAGCTAGGGAAATGAGAAGAAGGGGTCACTGACATTTTATTCGTATTTATCTCTGAATAGGAAGGCACAGGCATGGATATTGGCTTTCAACAAACTGCTCTTGCAAACAAAGTGCTCATACTTGGGAGAGCACATGAGAGAAGAGAGCTGAGGTTAGATTTCCAATTTCCTTGAAAAAGAATAATCTAAACCCTGTTACTGTGAGTTTTGTTTGTTTGTTTGTTTGTTTTTCACTTGTGTGGTATGTATATTACTCTGTGAAAGGTATGGTGGGACAAATGGCAGAAGAGCCTTTGAATAGCTAGAAATCAGTCTTCTCTTGGATCCCTTTTCAAAATCTATTATTTTCTGTCTTCTTCTCTGCATTATTTGGACTTGTATGCCGAATGAATGTTTTAACAATCAAACACCTTCTGAGAATCCTGGCCGTTGCATAGTCCAGGCTGCTGCCCCTACAGCCATATGGTCCTCATTAGGGGATCCGTTAGGGCTGGCTGGGCTGCAGTTAGTGTCGGTATCTTCTAGTTTAATGATGATCATACATGGTGCATATAAAATCACTACCCACCTGAGCCTTCACATGAGAATTTCCTCTTGGTACTCAGACGGGAATGCAAGGAGGGTGTTTTATGGTGTTCATAAGTACACTGGCATGGCTGGGACAGAGGAAGCAGAGACTGCAGCAGTTCAAAGCCACACCGGAAAGAGGCTGCAAGGAATAGCCATTGGGACCACAAAATGCAGGTCACTGTGAAGCAGAGCTGTTTCATGTAGGCATGGACCAGAACCAAGCCACAGTTGAGGACATCCCAGAAGTGTGAGAAAAGTTCAGCATCAGATCTGCCTTCCATGGAAAGATTTTGTACCTCAGTAATGGGCTTTACCAAAACTTTGTATTCAAACACCCATTAGGACCTAAAAGCATTTGGGTCTGGGTACAGCTAGACTATATTCTAGCTCCCTCCCAACCCACTCACCCTGTGCTCTTCCACTGTCTGCAAAGTGCCTCAAAACCCCACTGATGAAAACTTACTTTTGCAAGCCTTCATTTCCAGCTCCTTGCTTTAACACACCAGCCCAGACATAATCTTGACATGTACTTAGGTGAAGTTAACTGAACAATGCCACTTAATAAAAGTCCCATAAAGGTACAATCTTGTGCTCAGAGGAGATTTTATTTATGGAGACACAGAAAGTGGTGTCAGTGTGTGTATATACTCTGTAAAAAGTCCATTAGCCAAGGTGTAAGTGAAATGAATCTGACCTCTGTATCACTAACATGCTGACTGCAAAGGTGCCACTTCAGAGCATTACTGACCTCACCCCAAACCCTCAGTGAGAACTGAAAGCGAGAACAGGATTAGATGACGATTATTTTTTTTTTTAAGTGAATCAAGCAGTGTTTTGTCTGTGGAGAAAAAGGAAAAAAAATAGAAAAAAAAAATAACCCGGGCCCATGATAAATCTTGGTCTTTTTCCAAGTCTTACTGAAAGCTCTAGCCAAAATGTAAGAAACAGTATCTGAAATGTTTGTGAGAGAAGGCGTCTGTGCCAGCACTCATCCAGCAACATCTGAGAGAAGAGAGAATTTTATGTGTGATTGCCTTAGACTTGTTGCCATTATCAATTAAGCTTAGAAAGCTCATTTGATATGCTCGGCCATCCTGCGTGCTTGCCAAAAAGGCAAGACTTCTCCACAGCTGTGGCTCTGAAGATCACTGAAATACTGAAAGAAGAAGCGAGTGAATATATCCAGTGAGGTGATACTGGATGTGCTGTACTTTTCCTAGAGAAAAGCCACTTTGGATGGGGGCCCAGAGCTGGCACTTGGTGCACATCATTGTGTGGCGCTTGTCACTTGTCAGCCCTCGTGCCTTCTGTGAGTTCAACACAGGCTGGTAACAAGCTGGGTTTGTTGCATCCTCATCTTTAGCAGAGGGCATGCTGCTCTGTGAAGATGTGCAAAACAGCTCTGTTGTGAGTGGCTTATGTCTCATTTGCATGCCAAGAGGTTTGACATACATGATGACTGTATCATGGAGAATGCAGCGGCAGCTTCAAATACAGCTCTTGCTCTGTGGCTTTTTGCATGTAAGCATTCCTGTGCTTCAGGGTTCATGGACAGCTCGTGTATAGCTGCACTGTGCACTCAGGGTGAGACACAAGTCATGTGCCTACACGTGTCACTTTGCTTCAGATTCTCTATGTGACCCCAGTTCTCCATCTCTCCTTGTGCTTCATGTAGTACTCAGCATGCTCTTCTAGCCGAGGTGCTTGTTAGGAGTCCAGAGCACTCTGCTACCACTTCCAGGCCAGCAGATAGTGAGGGACAGTTTCCTTTACCCACGAGTAATAGTTGGCCTGACTGCTGGGTATAAAAAATTTTGCCTGTTGCATAAGAGATGTTGAGGGTGAATTCCTTAGCTTTCCATTCTAGCTAACTCTGCTTCATAGCAGTGAAGATAGGCCAGTGTGGACTTTATATTTATTTATTTATTTATTTATTTATATGTATATATACATATAAATATAAATATATATATATACAGTTATATATATATATATATAAATACAGTTTCTAGAATGTTCACAAACTTTATTGCATAAGGTTTAATTCACACCTTAGGGTAATTGAGACCTCCACATTGGTTTGTTGAGTGTCACTTATGTTAGGTCCTAGAACAGCCCAGCAAAGATAGTTGCGGAGAGTTCTGTAAGAGTCTAACAATGTGACTGAGCTCTTCAGTTGCTAGGTTCTGGATTTGCCTCACTATGACTAAAAAACAAGGAAAACCATATTTGAGGAGAAAAGAAATACAGTTCTTCCCCACATTCCCCTGTAGCTGGGCCCATCAGGACTGGTTACAGCTGCAGAATGAGGGTAGCAGGAGGACAGGAGGGACCTTCTGGTGACCTACCTGCCTCCTGAGGCACAGTGTGGATGTGCTCCGTTGACAGAGGCAAAAAAAATTGATTGTATAACTCCACCCCAGAGAGTGATGAGGGGACTTTTTCCAACATGTTGTTTGGGAAGAGTTACAATGGTGCTGGCAGAAACCTTTCTGCAGGAGCAAGTACAGCATGCACCCACAGTGAGTGGTGGGAGACCTCATCTTTTCTGTCATGTTTTATAATCTGGCACAGGGATAGATCCTGTTTTTACTGTGTCCCTGAATGTCAAGGCTAGCAATAAATAAATACTTCTGTGTGGGAGACTTTCAGGCTCATCCTTTGGAAGCTCTCTGGGGATGGAAGGGGTGGGCAATCTCTGCAGGCTCCTTTTAAGTATCTTCATTATGTGTATACCACTGAAACAAGCAGGGATTTTGGTTCAGAGACTCCAGAGCTAAGGTATCCAGAATGCTGTGCCTTCAGCACCAAGGCATAACCCCTTTCTGCACGAAGGTGTCCATGACAGACAGCCACCAGCAGCAGCTCAGGTAATCACCTACCTCTCTTCCCCAGTGCACTGTGGCTTGCATGCCTGGTGGAGGGGCCCAGTGCGGTGTAACGTGCTGCCAGAGAGCAACACTGCAACCTTCCCCTTCCCAGAAGATGCAGCAAGTGTATCCAAACAGTGTCAGAGGCCAAAGAGAGGAAATTTTGTCCTGGTCTCACACCCTGCTGGGGAAGTGATACCCCCTCCCCTCACAACAAAGGGCCCCCTCTGTGCTCTCATATTTCTTGCCATTAATTATAGCCCTTTTGAGGCCTGTGGGTATAATCAAAAAAAGTGGAGGGTAAGGGAGAGGGACCCCTGAATTAATTGATCCTTGAACTTTATTAATGAAAGTATGATCATGCATCCATTAAAACATCTGCTCTATGTATATCCAGCCAGCATTTTCAGGGGCTGGTCCAGGAGAATATGTTCAGGTCAACCTCAAAGTGAGCCTGAGCCGTGACATGCAGAAACCCTATCCCAGACGCATAGGTCCTAATGTAAAAAATATGTGATGTTATCAGCAGGCAGCCTCAGCCTCCTCTTTGCTTTCTGCAGACAACTGGGCAGCATGAGAGGAGATAAATTCCTTGTGGATAAATGTCAGTTGTGTTTTACAAATAAATGCATTCAGCAATAAAAAAGTAAAATGCTTTTGAATGTAAAGTTTCAGGAATAGGTCTCCTCAACAGGATTTGGTGCTTAAGCACTTTAATATTAGATCTCTAGAGATTGTTTGTATTGTGAAGTGAAACTGAAGCCATTTTAATAATAATAATAATAATAATAATAATAATAGTAATAGTAATAATAGTAATAATGACATCACCTTTCTTTCGAGTAGACTGGACAAAGAATGTACAGAATGCTGTTCTCAACACCTCCATAAGAAAGGCATGGACTTGTTAGAGCGGGTCCGGAGGAGGGTCACAAAGATGGGTAGAGGGCAGGAGCCCCTCTCCTATGATGAAAAGCTCTTTGTACAGCCACGGTGACATACGGCAGTGGGTCATGCATGGAACAGGCAGCAGTAGGTGCCAAGAATAGCAAAGTGCGAGCTTGACACCTTAACTTTGTGTTTTGCGGACACAGTGCCATTTTTGTTCCATTGCCTGGTTCATCTCCTTTTGTGGATGTCTCCTCAGCTGCTTCTGAAAATAGAGGCTGATCTTCTAATTCATGCAGACATTTGGAAACTGTAACACTAGCTTGCATTCTGCAAAGCATGTCAGTAGCAGAGGTGAGACCAGAGTCCATGCTGCCAGACTTTGTGCTACAATTTAATGACCAGACTAATGATCCCCTTCACATGTGCCTGAAAAAAGATCTCATGCAGCTAGACTTCCAGAGTAATTTGGAGGCTAAGGAATTCATTATGTGATGTTACCTTCCAGAGCCTTGCTGATAATGAGCTAACCTGCACTGGGAACACAGCGTCAGTTTTAAAGATGATGCTATCCAGCCCTGGAAAATGAAGTGCATGCAACTTGCCTGCCTTAATTGCTTTGACACTGAAACATGTGTTCTTCATGATTTTAGAGGTTTGGCAATGTTTTTCTCATTAAAGGAGACAGTAACCACCATAAAATATTGACAATCCAATATATTTACATATGAACTAAAGAAAGCTTCACTCTGAGCTGCTAGAGAAGTGTGCTTGTGATGATCATCTGTATGCAGAAAGGGTATGAACTGGAATTAATGTAAGAAGAACCAAACAGTGCTTGCCTGGAGGCAAAATATACTACCTGAGTTGTGTCCCATGGATAGCAAGGGAAGTGAGAGGCCTGCATTTCTGGGTAATGACCCTCTCTAACACTGATGCAGTGTATCCAGTGGGAAGATCAAATTTTAAGAAGTAGACACTTCATTTCAAAAGTATGTCCTTTTCACTCAGTTTGGAGAATCTTTATTCAGAATCCAGTTTCTATAGATGAATATGGTTATTTCCTTTAACTCAGATCAGAGATGGAGGAAACAGCCAAACTCTTTAACCCATCTCTACATTGGACTTTAGGGCTGGCACTTAGGTTTTTGTTAAAAACTCCTTGGTGCAGGTTAAAAGAAAACTCTATACTCCTCTTAATGACAGTATGCAACACAATGGAAGTATGTGACTTGTTTGTACTTCACCTTAGTTTTATACCAATTAGTCACTTTTTAAAATCCATGGTTATTGACTTTTCACAGTCATGTTGACATTTCAATTGAGTAGTCATGAGCTATTTTTCAATCACTCAAATCTCTAAAGAGTGCATCAGAAACAGCTTGGAAGAGAAGCTAAAGTAAAACAGCAAGAAACTGAGCCTTAAATATCTGAAGAAATGGATCTGTGCTTTTTTAACTAGGAAGAAATGTTCTAGTTCAGAATTTTCCCCAAACCACTAAAGCTTACAATAACATACTTAGCCTTTTTTTTTTTTTTTTTCTTTTTTCTTTTTTTCTGGATTACCACACTTTCTCTGAAGAGACAACGGGCTATAGCATATAGCATAGCTGTGTGCTGCAGCTACCAAGTCTTGGTTTTTGTTTAAATCATCTGTACATGTTTGTTTCCTTGGAACTTTTCATTGGGAGAAAGTTGCAGACAGTCAACATGTTCCTACATATGCCAGAGTCCTCAAGCCCACACTTTCTCCTTTTCATCTCTTTTTTATTTGAACAGATTTCTCTGCCTGGAAGCTTCTCCATGGGCCTGGGAGGCAGATTACACTTTTCTCCATGGGATACATCCAGTTGGCTGCCGGAGATCTGGATCTTATCTTCATTTCTGCTACTAACCTACTTTGGGCAAGCTGCTTCCTTTCTCTGTGCCTTTGTGCCCTTGCTCACCAACTGAGATTAGAAACGGTTCAGGGCAAAGCATGTCTGTAAAAATTACAATGAGTTTGTGCAATACTTTTAGCACAGTGGGGTCCCTCAGACAGTGATGGCCTTAAACTATTGCTAAAGGACAAATGAGAGTAAGATTCTTACAGCTGCTTTTGATCCACATTTCTCAA